TTACTACGAGGCACCCACATTATACTGCTGTTGAGTAGGAAGGCCAACCAAAACATAGCTCTGCAGTCTACCTGGGACACTCTTCCCTTTTATGTTTGTATGACTTCACGGTTTTATCAGCATCAACAGCAAACCCAATGAAGAGAAGGAAAGTGTTACTACGAGGCACCCACATTATATCTATCATGACATGCCTATATCAGATATGTTTTGGTTCCAAAAATATAGGCTGCCACTTTGTTTCATTTGTTTTTTATATGACATAATGCTAATTCAACATTTTTGATTGAATATTAATAAATAAATTCATTGACATATGCTTTCCTGCATTCAGTCAATATATATTCCTTAGTGCTCTGTGACAAGAAATGTTATATTTGCTAGAAATGAAGGAGGGAATGAGAAAATGGTCATTCTTCCAGGGAGATTACATTTTATTAAGGAAAAAAATAAACACCTATTGACATACTACATACAAAGAGCGTAAGTATTGTGAGGAAAAGTAAAGAGGGGAGGTGAATAGTGAGAGAGAGTACTTAGAGTCACACCTTTTTTTATATTTTTCTACTGTTAGGTTCCTTAGTGTAACGGGAACATCACGTCACTGGAGTAGGTTAGAACTAGGAAGGCTTCAGTTCCCATATAATTCTGCCCTTGACCTGCTGTATGTTCTGCCTATCTACATCAAATCATAAAAAGAAACTAAGACAAAAGAGTTTACATAATTTTCCATTTATCATTTAGAGAAAAGAAGGGAAAAATGGAGTTTCTGCCAGTTTAACCTCCACAGGTTTCACAGGCTAACTGTCAACTGTCATGATATTGATGGGCAAGACTCAACACCCGGACCAGGAAAAGAGGTGTGACTCTAAATAGTTGTCAGTAAGATTTCTAGTAACAGCTTCTTCTATGGAACAAATAATAAAAATTATAAATAGAGAAAAGTGTTACCAAGACTCAAGTATGACTGATTTTTTTCTCATGCTGTTAGAATGACAACTGGAACACAGATGCCTTCTGTCACTAAATGCAGGGCTTTTGGTACCACTCAGTGTCATCCTCCTGATAAAATAAGAGGTTGCTTTAGAATAATAATAAGCATGAGAATTTGCTTAGGAAAACAAATATTGGAATAATAGTTTAGTAACCTAATAGTATGCCAAATACACTTTTTTCCAACTTTCAGATAAATATTTTGATATATGAGAGAGAAAAACGGTATTTGATTAAAACATGAAATTCCTTCATATTAATTTATTTTTTATTTATGATTGACTCCAAAGGGACATTAGAAAATACATAATAACTAGTGATCAAGGATACAGTTATTGATAAGGATGCTGGTGAAACAAATCATAAAGTTAAAAGCATTTACCATTAGCCCAGCCGGTATGGCTCAATGATTGAGTATTGACCTATGAACCAGGAGGCCATGGTTCAATTCAAAGTCAGGGCACATGCCCTGGTTGTGGGCTTGATCCTCAGTGGGGGATGTGCAGGAGTCAGCTGATCAATGATTTTTTTTTCCTCATCATTGATGTTTCTAACCTTCTCTCCTTATCCCTTTCTCTCTGAAATCATTAAAAAAGTATCATAAAAAATAAACTCAGCCAAATACCTATCAAAAGAGTTAATGATTTTCAAAATAATGATTTTGCCATACTGTAGGTCCATAGTTGTTAACCAGACTTGAACTCACTATATGCTCTCATGGCACTTTGCCCACAAAATATGATTATGTTGACCTAACATATATATAATTGAATTTATTATAATATATAAAACTTTACATATCCTTTATCATTCATAGTATTTCTCATGTTGTTATAGAGTATTATATATAAGTAAATATGTAACTTATCCAGTGTTATATAATGTTATATATAAATGTAGATGTTTATACATATACTTTAAAATAATGTATAATAAATGGTTTATGATTAAAATTGTCTACAAGACAAAAAAGCAAAACATCAAATAGCACACACACAGAAAACTTAATAATCACAGATAAAAAAATTAAAAAACTCACTATCAACAACTTTGACCTACTGAAAAAAGCAAAACTATGTAGTTTTGATAGTCTAATTTAAAAAGAAAAGACAATGATTTGAAGACCATTTTATTCAGGCTCACTGGAACTACAGTGAGAAGAAGTAGCAGCTTGTTGCAGCAAAAACAGCCTTGCGCTCAGGGAATCAATGTCTGTGTGCTCACCCAAGTTGGTTACAGATTGGATGTAGGCACAGATTCAGGGAAAATAGAAAATAAATCTTAGAATATCACTACTGGCATTATAAAATTAAGATAGATCTAAAAAATTTCCAAAACCTATCATTACGAAAGATTGGAAAGAAATGATTGTCCCTGTAATATAGTTAAAACATAAAAATTCTCAGATATCCCATTTTCTATAGAATATCTGAAAAAAATTTATAAACACACAAGTAGCTGTAGATTGTAAATAAACCAAATATTAAATACCATAAGAAATACACACACAAATGTTAAATACAGATGTTGTGTAAATACAAAAAAAGAACAGTTGAAAGATAAATACACCCCAGATTAGGAAATTGTCCATTTGGAAAAGGTACTGAAATCATAAGAGTAACAGATACCTTAGTGTAAAGATAACAGGAAATATCAAATGTTTAAATAAACCCACATTACCCTCTCCATACATACTCATTGGTCAGAAAGGTCAAGAGTAAGCAGTGTGTCTAGAAAAACCATCTTTTCATGATCCCTAAAGCACTTATTGCCGAGACACCAGACTTTTTATGTTTGGTCCTTCGCTTGCAGAGACACAGACTGTGTCTCATGGTATAGATGGAATCTCAGGTGTCCACAGGTTGGATCATTAAGCATCTTTTCTGGTCTCCTGGGACTGGAACTAATCAGAGTAACAGGTCTCCTCAATAGCTATGCATGACATCATAACCCAACATTTTTAACAACCATTCACATTAAAGTTTTATGATTACACACAGAGAGAGAGAGGGAGAGAGAGGGAATTAACTGAATTGTATGCTCTTCTTTGGGAATACTTATATAAAATGTCTGCTTTCCTTCTAACAATTCAATAGGCATAATAGAGCTGTGGATAGTGTGGAGATTTTGCAAATATTTCACATAGGTTTATTAGCTTTTACCTAATTGTATATTTAGCTTTCTTCAGTCAAACAGCTTATATACACATTATTTGTGTGTTTGGAAAGGGTAGTAGATTTTTTGTGTGCGGTCTGTTGTTAATTAGTTAGCATGTCGTTGGGGATACAAACTGTGTCTCATAGTGTAGATGGACTTTTAACATATAATTAGAGTAAGTTATAATATATGCAAATAAATAAAATAATGAAGTCATGTCAATCCAAATATTGTACAAAATTTAAAGATTTATGACATCCTATTGTGAAGGTACTGATAGAACATTAACATGCTTTAGATACAAAATGGAAGATATTACTATATCACAAGAGAACAAATTTATTAGAACTAATAGCAATGTATCAGTTATAAATTATGGGAAGTCTTCGCCATGCTACTTCACAGTGTTTACAGCCAAGAGAAAGTTGGATTCTCAATTAATACTCACTTTAATGGTTTCATTTGTCTTATAGCAGTAAGTAGAGACCAGAAATGCTGCTAAACAGCATAAAATGTGCAGAGTAGTCTTCTCCTCACCCCATCCCCACCCCTCAAAAGAAATATTAGCTCAAAGAGACAATAGTGCTGCTTTTAGAAACTCAGAGCTTAATTGACTCATAGAAAAGCAGGGTTGGGGCTGGGTCAAAAAGGTGAAGGAGTTAAGTAAAACAGCAAAGATAAAAGCCTCATTGACACAGACAATACTATGGTGATTGCCAGAGGCAAATGAGGGTGGGAGAGGTAGAAGAGGTGGAGGAAAGATAAATGGTGAAGGAAGAGGACTTGACTTTAGGTGGTAAGCACACAATAAATATGCAGATGATGTATTATAGAATTATACACCTGAAACATCCATATAATTTCATTAACCAATGGAACCAATAAGTTCATTAACATTTTATATTGAAAAACTCTTTTGTGGCTTACAAATGCATTGTGGTTTATCTATTTTAAACTAACTTATTTTGAAAAGTGAATTATAATTCTTAGATAAAATAGATCACTATTAAAGAAGCTATGTCCCTTAGTACAATGGAAGAATGATTAGAAGTCAGCTCAGTAATGTGGTTTTCTAAAACATAGAGTACACTAAAATTAAAAGAACGATTCAAAATAACCCGAATGCCAGGTGCTATATAGGTATTGGAAAGTAAACCAAAGTATTTATTCCCTGATGGCAAGGAGCTTCTAACATGGGCAGGTTGACAGATATGTCAATGTATAACTTCAACACAACATAATAAAGAATATAATGACTCAGAAATACAAACACCATATGATCTCACTAATATGTGGAATCTCATTAACACAATAAAATTATGAACAAAATGGAACCAGAAGCATAAATACTAGTACATGGAACAGACTGGCCTTTGCCTGAGGGGAGGCAGGTGTAGGTAACTGGATAATGAAGGTGCAGGGATTAGCAAAAGAACATATATGCATACCCCATGGACAAGGACAATAGTGTAGTGAAGGCCAAGAAAAGGGGATGTGGGGGAGGGTGGAGGTGGGCAAAGGGGAGAAACAGGAACACCTGCAATAATGTCAACATCAAAAAATTTTAATTAAAAATAAGAATATAATGAATCAGAGTACAAAGCTTTATAAGAACACTAGTTGAAGAGTAAATATTATTTAATTCAGGAATGTTTCACAAAGTAGAATATTTTAGAGAGAACATTTCCATAGGAGAGGATGAAAGCATTTTAAAGGAGTGAAAATGGAAAGTTATTTTTATTTCTGGAAATAAATTTAAAATAGTTGACACAAGTTGTTCATGGCATAGTCATCATGCTGACATTGGAAGGGCAGGCTGTGCTTTAAATATTTTTCAGTGATTGAAATTCTCAGTCATTTGAAATCCAGTTTCTTGCTACTAGTTTTTGAAGGGCATTTTTTACATCCTTGTTTCTGAAGCTATAGATTATCGGGTTAAACATGGGGAAAACAACAGTATAAAACACTGCAACTACCTTATCAGTGTTTAGGGAGTAGCTGGTGGTGGGACGTAGGTACATAAACAGGAGTGTTCCGTAGAATAAGGTGACTGCCACGAGATGGGAAGCACAGGTGGAGAATGTTTTGCTTCTACCGTCTGAGGACTTGATGCTCAAAACAGTGCTGAGGATACAAAAGTAAGAGATAAATATGACCATGAAAGTGCTGGTCTGAATGAAACCACACAAGACGAAGAGCAGAAGCTCATTGATATGGGTGTCTGCACATGATAAAGCCAGGAGAGGTGGGATATCACAGAAAAAGTGGTTGACAATATTGGAGCCACAAAATGGCAGCGTGAATGTGAGGCAGACATGTACCATCGAAGTCATACTTCCACTGAGGTAGGCCAGCACGATGAAGCAGACACAGACTCTGCTAGACATGAGGGTAGGGTAGAGCAGTGGGTTACAGATGGCTGCATAGCGGTCATACGCCATTGCTGCCAGGAGGAGGCACTCAGCATCAGCGAAACAACCGAAGAAAAACATTTGCAGGGCACAGCCAGAGGGAGAGATACTTCTCCTGGATGCTAAGAAATTCACCAGCATTTTAGGAGTGATTGCTGTAGAATAGCTGATATCTAAGAAAGACAAGTTGCTGAGAAAATAGTACATGGGGGTTTGCAAGCTTGGGTTGATGTTAAATAGGATGATTAGGCCCATATTTCCCACCACAGTTAGTGTATATACTATGAGGAATACCAAGAATAGTGTGATTCTGAGAGGTAGATAATCTGTGAACCCAACAAGTAGGAACTCAGTTGGCATGGTATAATTACTCTCCAACATCCTTGTTTTCTTGTTCTTCCCATCCAAAATAGATGGTGTTAAAATACGTGAGTTGACTCCAGTGATCAATGAATCAAGAATATCTTTCTTCTCCCTTCTAAAGAAGGAGAATAAAATTATAGTCATGGCAATCTGTCTAATATATTTGGTTTGTTTTTATTTTTGTCATTTTCCTTACTTTTTAATATATGTTTTATTGTTGTCAGTATTACAGATATCTCTCATTTCCCCACCTGTCTTCCTCCACCTAGCCCTTGCCCACCCCCTCAGGTCTTCACTACCCTATTGCCCATGTCCATGGCTATGCATATTAGTATATAAGTTCATTGGTTTATCTCTTCTCATCCCCTCAACTCCATATCAAGGTATGTCAGTCTGTTCTCCAAAAACCTAGATACACAATGTCTGTAGATTCTACCACATTTTGAAAATAAAATATATTTTAATAAACACTGCATTTTTAATAATTAAAGTGAGTATACATTTTTGGGACACCCTGTATAGTGACAGAGTCCTGGTCTCACTTCTTACCCAAAATATTTTGGTGCCTATGGTGTCAAAATATTTTCTACTGATGTAAGAATATTATAAGATATTATTCAAAAAATGTTAGTGCTAGATAGAACCTCAGCAATTATCTATTCTTATTTTTCAGATTGGGTGACTAAGTCACACTCACATTCAACAAGTGACATGTTTACTAGTGACTTAAATCTGTGTGTGCCTTATTTCCATAAATGGGTTATGGGATCCAAGTTCAACTTTCCTTCTTTGAGTGCCCATGAA